TTTCTACAATTTTCGATCAATTCATAGTAATGTTGACTTAGACCACTTTCATAATTAACACTAAATGAATTCCGTATAACGTTGTAATTACAACTACTATCTAAAGGTTCATTTTTGACGATATCGTAAAAATTACATTGAATAAATTTAGTTTAAAATCATGTCGCGTGAAATAAATGATAAATTCATTTTTTTTTAAATTTTGACTTAGATCACTTTCATAATTATGGGCACATATAACTGTTAACAATATAACTGTATCTTAACAATATACAGACAGAATATACAGACGCTCTGTACAGTACATATCAGACTCTGCCGACCAGAGAAATAGCCTCGCGTAGAATTCAGCCGTACCTAAAAGGTTAATAAAAAATATAGCAATTTTGTTTAATTTAAAACGCAATCAAATTTCCGTGCAGCATGGGTCTATTTTATTTCCTGAAATACTGTGCCCTAAAGAGTTAAAGCAGTCGCCGGGCATGCGAAAGATCCGGGTTCGAATTCCCGGTTCCGATCTTATCCGATCGGTCGACTCATTTTCTCCTACGCGTTGAAACGTTTCTGGTTCGAGGACGATTCTAAGTGAAATTGTCTCGGGAAAGACGACCCCGCTTCGTCTACGGTGCAAGAGAGAACAACGAAGACCGAGGAGATCCGGCTGCCGCCGCGACCGATCTATCGGGGCGCGCCTAACGCGTTCGTCATCGAGATCTTCACGATTCAGGAACGCGTGAAGCGCGGCAGCAGCATCAATTTTCTCGAAGCCGCGTTCGAGTGCTTCCCCGAAATGGATTATTGCGCGATCTTGATGCCTTCCGCTCATTCGGAGCTCAGCTTCCTCAGGAATTTCGTGGTACGATTTTCTGTTCATCGTTGAACGTTCCTGAGCCCCTAGGGGTGAGCGGGTACACTCGAAATTCTAAAATGGGATAGGGGTGGGGAGCATAATTTAGACATTTAATTAGCTTTTTTCTTGATTGTGTATCATCCGTCTCAGATACACAATAAATGTAATATACAGGGTGGACCACGCAACTTGTGCACTTGTGCACCATATAACTTTATTTTTCGGACATTTCCTCCACTTTTCGCTGGCCTCCGGAATTCTAATAAGGTTGAATCTCCAACTTGATATTGTACGAAGAAAATTTTCAAGGAATAAAGTGAAATTACTCGTTAGCTATTAGGTTCAGGGCTAATAAAGGTCAATACTTTTTTACTCAGAGTTCGATATACTTCCATATTTTGATGTAAAAAATATAATGATCTATTTAAAAAAACAAAGTTGATCTTCAAATCTCAGAAACGCCTCCATCTATAAGAAAAATAAATGCACTGCATAATGCGCCCCTTCAAACCATGCATCTTCTGTATACAAAATTTTTTCGTGCGATGCATATTTTGAAAGTTATAAGAGGTGCACAAGTTGCGTGGTTCACCCTGTATAATATACAGGGTATCTCATAATTATACTAACATCCGGAAAGAGGTGACTCGTGAGGTTATTTGAAGTGACTTTTTCTTTAGCGAGAATGCAATCCGCGGCTTTGTTTACGAGTTATTAATGAAAAACAGTGACCAATGAGAGGCGAGATCAGCTGGCGCGAGGCGGCAGAAGCCCAGTTGCGCTCATTGTTTAATAACTCGTAAACAAAACCACGGATTGCATTTTCGCTAAGGAAAAACTTGCTTCAAATATCCTCAGTAATCATCCCTTTCCGAGTGTTAACACATTAAAGGCGGGAGTCGTAGTACTACGATTTATCTCGNAGGCGGCAGAAGCCCAGTTGCGCTCATTGTTTAATAACTCGTAAACAAAACCACGGATTGCATTTTCGCTAAGGAAAAACTTGCTTCAAATATCCTCAGTAATCATCCCTTTCCGAGTGTTAACACATTAAAGGCGGGAGTCGTAGTACTACGATTTATCTCGACTTCTCATAAATATGTACTTTAAAACATTTTTTGTAATTAGTGTTTAGTTCTTTTTTAATATTTCTTTTAATTTTAAGAGAGTTTAAATAAACTTTTTTAAGTCTAAATTTTTTTATGATTACACAAAATATCGCCCGCTCTAGGACGAAAAACGAGGCGGGGTGGTCGCCGCGTTACCTAGCATACTTTCGTCAAGATCCCCCGCCTTTAATGTGTTAACATAATTATGGGACACCACGTATTTCCGGATTTATAAACACTCCCCAATCCGCTTTTAGGATTTCGAGTACCGAAAATTCTCGGGGCTCGATTTCAAATTCGGGTACCCGAATTTTCCGGGTACCGAAAAGTTTCGGGTCCCGACCCGAACCCGAAGAAAATATCCGACGCGATTTTAACCCGAAATCTCGAGCACCCGGCCACCTTTGCGACCACTGACGATCGTTTCGTAAAACGAGCGCATCAAATTCAGCGAGTACCGGCCAGGTGTAACCGAGATTTTCCGATGGCACTGTACGTGATGCATCGCGCCTCTCTCCTGGGAAACATCGAGATGCGCCAGGCTGCTCCTCAGGATCGGGACGGTCTTTGGAAGTTGTTGCGGAACATTCCGAAAGCGCAGAAGATTTTGGACGACTTCGACGACGCGGTTAAGCCGAAATCGGGCCTTTTCTGCTACGTATTCGCGTGGAACGGTGAACTCGTCGGTCTGACAATCTTCCGGTATGTAATCTTGAAGGATCCTTTGCTCGGACGAACGTCGTCGCGCCTGCTGGTTGATCGCGTACAGCGGCGATCGGACGGTTCCGATCGCTAGACCCGTGGTCACTGACCCCGCTGTGACCCCTGAAAAGAAGGGTAAGCGATCGCGAACAAGCCAGAAACCTCGCGATGGTCTAGGAAACCAACCAACAGACGTAGAACCGCTCCAGCGTCGCTATGCGGGGGTTAATCGAAAGTCTTGGCGAATATTGCACGATCAGCGCCGAGAAGGACGTGACATACATCAGGAGGCGTTTCCACGTGGAAGATTACATCTCCGTGAAGGACGTGCCTCGGGATGCGTACGGTTGCATCCTGCACTTCGTTCTGGTGCCGATCTTCGACGTTCACATGCGCCACTTCGTCTGCGAAATGAGCCGCATAAGCGGGCTGATCGTTTTCTACTATCGCCTGACGAAAAACGCGACGAGCGCTCTGGTACGGAACCGTTCCTCGAAACATTCTTCGTGCAAGCTTTCGAAACGGTTTACTTTCGTAGATTTAGTTTCGTAGAGTATTAACTCGAAATGTTGCGCGATTCTAGACGCGCTCGCAGCCTTTGCCGATCTGCTTGAGCTCGATGGTCCACGTGCAGCCTCGAAGAAGGCTCGAGTACAGGTTCCGCGGTCTCGCGGAGACCGACCAGCCTCGAACCGAAAGCGAGCCGTTCTCGCTGTTCATGACAACGCCGAGGATGATGAGCGGCTTCAGTTTGGTATTCGACACGAAGATCGTGGTGATCGGGGCCTCGGACTGCGGCGTGGCTTTTCTGGAGCATATAGCGTTCGGGTAAAGAAAACGCAGCGAAACCGCGAGAACCGAGAAATCGGGGAAATCCGAAAGTTTCCAGGACCCCGTACGATTCGACGCGGTACGCGGACATCACGTTGATATCGCCGCGCGGGCTGCCTTACGAAAACGAACGGACTTCCGAGGTCGCCGGCATGATTCCGTTTCGCGGCCGCTACTGCCACGAGCACCGTCGGACGGTCGCGGCGCGGGCCTGGATCAACGTTGTCTACGGCAGCGTTGTCGCGATCGACAGGTAAATACAGCCTTCTCATCTAAGCAGGAACGACGCGTCTTCGTTGCGACTGGCCTCGTAATGTCCGCGCGATCGGCAGGAAGGAGAAGAACGTGACGGTGCTGCATCAGGGACAGATCGCGTACGACTACTTGGTGGTGACCTGCGGCCTGCAGTTCCAGAAGCCGCAGTTCTCGAGCGAGCTGGAGAAGCAGAAAAGAGGGTAATAGGGGATAATGGTCGCAGACAGCCTTCGAATCGAGACGGATATATCTTTCTCGCGGACAGGGAGTGGACGGAGCAAGAGCAACCCTGGAACTGCCTGACCGTCAACGACGACGTGCAAGCTGCCACCTGTCTTGAAAAGATTCGCTCGTTGACCAGCAACTTCGAGGAGAAAAGTAAGGCCTGTCTCCCTGTCTCGACGTAACTCTGTCTCGATTCTGCGTCACCGGTGAACAAGGACGAGCCTTACGAACTCTTCCAGAGAAGATCGTCCTCTACGGGCGCAGCATCGATTGTTACTGCGCTATCCAGGGCCTCCTCGAGTGCGGGCTGAACGGCTCTTGGATCTATTTGATCGAGCCTCCGATGCACCCGTGCGATTCTCACCAGAGCGTCTTCTACGACGAGTGCGAGGTACAAAATCGAAGCGCGAGGACACGATCGGTTTTGTCGAAGCTGTTGACCCCGACTCGCGTTCAAGGTGCACGCCGTAGCGATGGCTGGGATCATGGACAGCGGCGTGACGCTTCTTCGGGAGTGGGAGCTGATCGATTGGTACCTGAGAGACTCCGCCGAGGGGAAGACGATAGAGGCGCTGGTCCTGCAGTTGAAAGACAACACGAAGATAGTGCAATGCGACGCTCTGGTTGCTTTTCACGAGAAGACAATTGACCAGAAGATATTTTTGGGTAATCGGAACCATTTTCGTATACCCGCCTGTCCGCCGGTGATTTAATTATTAAACGCGACCGCGTTTCCGTCGACGCGTTCCAGCGTTCTGCAGGGCTGGATTGATGTTCGACGGCCAGCTGGTGATAGACCCCGAGTTCCGGACCAACGACCCGTTCGTATTCGCCGCCGGGACCAGCACCAAGTACAGCCGCAAGTTTTACGCGGAGTCCTGGCAGCACAGATTCTACAACAGCGTGGAAACAGGCGAGAGAGTTAGTATAGCGAGGCAACCTCTGTGTCGTCGAGTACTCGAACAATTGGTTTGCAAAGCTGGCGAAGATGCTGCGACTGATCATTCTGAAGCATCAAAAACTCGGCGGGAAGATCCCAAAGCCGTGCAAGCGCAAGAAATACTCGTCCATTGTGTCGTTTCGCGCGCCGAACGTAGTGGCCTGCACCCTGCCCGGTGGATATCGGTACCTGCACGTGCACAAACCTGGCAAGATGGTGAAGAACAAAGCTTCTCATCTGCACGACACTTCCGTGAGTTTTCTCGATCGGGCGGCCTTCCGTGATTTCTTCGTCACGTGCACGATTGCGTTCAGGGCATCGAAATGGTCACTGGCAGCTGCGACTCCGAGATCGGCTACTTCCGTCTGCGACTAAGTCGCTACGACACCGTGGAATCGATCACTTGTTTCGCCCGAAAGGTATTCTAGCATCCGATAGGTCAACCCTTGCGTCGATAACGCAAAGGTTCGAGTACCGTTTCAGGACTTCGAGGTCTACCAGATGATCCAACTATACGGGAAACACGAGAGTTTGTTAAACGAGTTGAAAACGCGGTTCCAAGTAAGCGACACCCTGTCGTTCCGTAGATCCAATTTTAAGGGGAGGAGGCTCGCGGGAAACGTTCGAATGAGAGGTGATATTTGGCAATTTTTTTATAACATAAGACCTTGGTGAAGTTTATCGCCACTTGGCACATATATTCTTTGACATTTCTAGATACGAAATGTTTTTTTTTATCGGCTTTTAATGAAATAGTACGTGTTATTCCTTATGGACCTCCCCGTCGACGGCGTGCAGTCTAGCATTTTCTTTTCCCTTCGATGTAGAACAAAAAAGCAAACATTTTCTTTGTAATAGTATTACACATTTTAATAATAAATTTCTAACTTAATTATGCAATGAACACAGTTTAAATCATTATTATTGTGAAAGACGTTAGTTCATACGACGCGTAATTACGAAGGAAAATATCATTTGATTTTTCGTTCTGAACAACATTTACTACTATTTCGTTAAAAGTCGATAAAATGTAACGAAAAGATATCATTTTGTATCTTGAATTGTTAAATAAATATATGTGCCAAGCGGCGATAAATTTCATCAAGATCATATATTTATAAAAAATAATATATATATATATATATATATATATATATTATTATATTATATTATTATATTATTATATTATATTGTATTATTTATATTATTATTTATATATATAATATAAATAATACAATATAATAATATAATAAAATAATATAATAATATAAATATATTTATAAAAAAATTGTCAAATATCACCTCTTTGAACGCTTCACACGAGTCTCCCCCCTTAAGGGTGTCTTAACGAGACTTCGATGTATCAGGAATCCTTGATCTCGGACTTTTTCGCGTACTTCCGGGAACCGTGGGCAACGGCACTCTTCCTCGACCGATTCGACTGCCTCCGGATGGAAAACCGTGCGACCCTGTCATCGAAAACGGTAAAGAGAAAGAACGGTAGGGAAACGAACGCGACATTGAAAACGATCCTCGTAACAGGCGATACCCGGCCAGTCGTTGATCGAGGACTGTATTCTCGCACTGAAGAACTCGAACTGGGGTTCGGTAAGTTATCGAAATCCCGTGGATCCACTCACCTTCAGGATCGATCGCAATATCCAGATGTCGGAGAAGGATCGTGCTCGGATCGTTGCAAAGTTCGCCGGCTCGGTGTACCACCAGGAGCTGGAGGATAACCTGCTGGAGTTCCTGCAGTTCTGCGAGGAGGATGCACCCGTCTACTGCACGCCTGGAAAGCTGCGGGAGATGTACGCCGACATGAGGGACAGTCCCTTGTTCGTGGAGCAGTGATTTTGACCGTGTCACGCTTTCGCGAGCAACGAAAATGCGAAATAAATCTCGACCACACGATTCCCCCGTGAATCTTTCCCCGAGATTTCAATGACTTTCCATGTATCTCTCCGATTTTCTTTGGTTTTGCGGGAAACCCGCAAACCCGCAACGATATCCCGCGGAAACCGCGAACACGAGCGCCGATCTTGTTACGGCTCGGCGAGCAAACGTCTCTGAGCTCGGCGAAGCAGCCGAACGGAAGCAGTCCCTCCACGATCGCCTACTTTTATTTGCATGCGACTCGATCTGTAGGTCAAGTTTAACATTCCACGATGCTGTCCCGCAAAGGCAGCTGAAGGCGCCTCGAGAGGACACGGGACTGCTCGAGGCGGCCGCCCACGCGGTCGCACGCGCAACGACAACAAACATTCTGTTGCAGAAATGCCACCGCTAACGAATCACGCGGAACCGAATTCTTCGGCTTAGAGGACCGAATTAACGTTGCCGCGCGTCGCGATCGGGCTGCTCGCTGTCAAAAGTAGCTAGTTTCCCGTTCGAAACAGCCGCGTACCTAATGAAACTTTCATCTTTTAGGGTTGGATAGCAACCCGAGGAGAGGCTATAGTCTCGGCTAGGAAAACCTGAGGGCACCGTTAAAGCGACTGCGGCGTTTTTCACAGCTAGCGGATCGTGAGAATCGGCGGAACTCGACCCACACGTAAATCCAACCCGAGGAGAACGAGTTCGGCCGGCTTTCTATTCGGCTTCGCCGCTCCGTAATTTCGTCTCTTTTCCCGCCCGAGATCTAGAGATTTATCGCGGCATAAACGCGGTCTACCCCCCTTGCAGATCCCCCCTCGCGCGGGCTCGCTCGAGCGAATTATAACGACCGACAGCCGTAACTCATGACGCACGTGTTACGATCCATTTCAATTTGCCAAAGAAGCGAATCAATCGCAATTTACGCCTACGCGCGGCGCACCGCAAACGAAGTGCCTTGTTTATCGCGTTCCTCGCCGCTGTAGCGGGTATCAAGCTGCCTAAAAAGAGACATAACCGCGACCCGCGGCGTGTCTGAAAAGAAAAAGTCTCGGCACATTGCGATTACACGCCGATCAGAAAGCGGCCAAATATCTTTCGTCTTAATCGCCCGGTGACTCGGGAGCGGAAACGGCGCCGTATAATTAACCTTTTTGGCAAGCAACCCGTTCGGGTAATCGCGTCAAGATTCGCGTACTTGTCCCTCAAGGCTGATCTTCTCCCACGTGCACGCATCGATTTACATTTTTGCATTATTACCTCTGCAATACCGCCGATCGCGCGGTATCAGTCGCTCGTGCACCGCGTGCAGGGCAGCCTCTCGATCTTTTATCGCTTCGGCTAGGACGACATCCGCTCGGCACGATGAGCAGAAGACCGATCACCTCGTACTTCTACGAGAGAAAGTGCTACCTGTGCGAACAACGCACCGTTTGCCCCGAGTACCCTCCGCCGCCGAAGAGAACGCCGCAAAGAGTCAGATTCACGTTCGCCGAGCCGAGTAAGTGCGACACACGAACAGCCCAAGTTCGGAGGATCCATGGAAAAAAGACAAGTCGGATCCTCTTTGATCGCATGTGTCATTCGTTAGTCAGCACCGCTTCGTTTCGTTTTTGTTTCGCTCGTTTCGCTCCATTGAACGACACCGCGTCTCCGTCCGACGGCACGTGTCGTTCTTCACCCTTTCGTTCGATCTCGAAAGATCAAAACTCGGGAAAACAAACGCGGAGCGCTGCCAGCTTCGTTATTTACGTTACCGCGGAATCGGGATTTTGAATCGTATCCAAAAGCGCGCAGACCCTGAAGCCGGGTCAATGTCGCGCTATTCTGGTCCCTGGTTCGCGTCGCCATTAAGGACGTAGGTTTCTCGCGGCTGTAAACGCGAGCGACTCTGCAAATAATCGAATAAACGATTCTCGCTGACGGGGTAGCTTCGATTCGCCGTGCGAATTAACGATGCTCCGGACCTGGTCGTCGGGACGATCGTCGATCTCGCGCGTAATCGACGCTGCCTAATGTAAAACAGGATTCCATTTGTTTACGTAATAACGCTCGTTATTATACAACTATTACGATCAGACCGCCTCCGCGGCGTAAGTCGCCGCTGATAATGGGAGTAGCGCTTATGTAACGAATGTCAGTTTACCGGGCCGCCGCGCGTTGATTCTCGCGCCTTTACGGTGGAGCGGCGCGCGTTCTTCCGCCGTAAAAGGAAATATCCGAGACCCATATTCGAGGCACGTCGCGCTGATTCACGGATCTATTGTCGCGGGAAATATCGCGGCTTCGCGACACCTCGCTCTCGGGCAGATCGCCACGCTTTCGTTGCAAGGAATTCACTGGAAACTCGTCGACACGTTCGGGACGGCTCTGGCGTATGAAACGCATTCGGTACCGATCTTCGGTGCTTCCTTTGATGTCCAGCTTTCGAATTGTTGCCGCTCGTTGACCTAATCCAGAGCAATCCGTCCCAAAAGTGTTGAAAGATGATAGAAATTCGAAATTTGCAGCGACCTTGCTGATAGCAATGGACACCTGGAAGTAAACGAGTATTGGTCCTCTGTCCGCAGAAAAAATGCTGAGATCGGCCTCGCCGCATTACCCTAGCAGGGGTGGATCGGATATCCGAGTGATTCGTCTAACGGTTGATCAAGAAGCTGTTCTTCAGGAGCAGTTCAATCGATGGCCGAGAGCACCCCATACGGCGGATGTCGTCCTACTTGCAGCCGAGACGGGACTTTCGGAAGCCGACGTCGAGGTTCCTATTCTTCTCGCCTCTTTTTATGCCTAGAAAAATATTTCTTTGAAAACGGATCATTTATTAACGAACGTTTTCCGTTTGTTCCAGGCTTGGTACGCCATTCGTCTGGCCCAATGGAGGAAGGAGCAGGGCCTCGGCGGAAACCTGGGTCTGCATTGATGCCTAACGTTGAGCCTCGACGTTATCGTACCCGTGTACCTGAAACCTTTAATTCGTATACGAACCGCGCGAACCGACAACGATTTATTCTCCTTGCTTTCAGCTTACGAACGATCCGTAAGGTCTCGCGGCAGCGATCGATCTTTTAGAGTTTAGAACATTTCGATCGCGAAACGACGTGATCATTTTATTTATGTTAATTGTTAGAGCGAAGCGTTCGCCAGAGACGGTACCAAAATCAACGCGACGGTGCAATAGCCATAGTTTGTTAACAGCTTCTTTTTTTTAATTGTATCTTCGCCGTTGTATCCATCCGCGGTCGCAGTCGGGCTTGAAATTCCCTACGCGATTCGATCCGGGTGGTTGCAATGCTGCAAAATGGACAATCGACTAATGTAATTAGAAATATTGTACGTAATATTGCGAAGATGACATTACCAGCGAGTATTAATCATAGCGTTACGCGTTACTTGACGTATAACCCGGTTAATTACGTTACGCCGGCGGAACAGGTACCATAATCATTAGACTGTTTATCTTAATGCGTGTCCAATCGATTAACAATCTTTTTGGAATTCGTGTAAAGATTCATGGTCTAATAATTATACGTCGATGCTTCTGGATAGTTGTACTAATAAGACGGGTGTACAAGAGCACACGAATAGAGAGAGACACGTTTATATAACCCAGTTAATCGAATAAGTGTTATAAAAATTTTCTGCTAAAACAATAGAAATCGTTTTATTATAACTATCGTCTATTATATAAAATCAGTATAAAAACTTTAAAAGTGCAATCCAAATGCTTGGAAAAATATTTTAAAAAATCGAAGAAACCGCTTTATTTAACAAAACTTGCGAAAGAGTAGTTTATGGGCACACTACTCTTTCGTTATTTTTATTACATTGTATGCTTAGATTAAGAAATTTATTTAATCATTGTCTACGAAGAGTTTTTATGACTTCGACTTTTAAAGACTTTTTAACGAAAAATGTGAAACCGGTTACTAAGACCAGCTCGGTAGTTTTAGTATTAAAATAGGGTTGGATCAACGTACAACTGTAAAAAGGAACTTTGAAATTAAGACAAACAACTTAGCGGATATTGGTATTTTTGCCGACTGCATCCGCGATGGATGCTAAGCCATCCTTTTCCAGCATTTCATTTAACTCTCGTTTGATTCTCGTTACTACTGGAGGTCCTCGGTATGCAAACGACGTGTACACTTGGACCAGAGAAGCGCCGGCTTTGATTTTATCGTAGGCGTCCGATCCGGTAAAAATTCCACCGACGCCGATAATAGGAACGCTTCCACGAGTTCTCCTGTACATATCTGATATCATCGCGGTGGACATATCGGTCAGAGGAGCTCCGCTGAGTCCTCCATCTTCCTCTTTCAACGAACTTCTTAAATTATTCCGCGTGACAGTGGTATTGCACAATATTAAACCATCTATTTTGGTTTTCTTCCCGAGTATCACATCTGCGATTTCTTGTTTCTCCGAGTCGGATAAGTCAGGAGCAAGCTTTAATAGCAACGGCTGCCTGCTCCCTATCGATTCTCTGACTTCGTTTATCCTTGTTAATAATTGTTCCAACTCCTTCTTACTTTGCAAAGACCTTAAACCAGGAGTGTTTGGACTGGATACATTAATCACAAAGTAATCGGCCACATCGGAGAATTTTTTAATGCCATCTATATAGTCTTGAGCAGCATCTTCCATTGTCTTGTTCTTGCCCAGGTTTACTCCAATTATACCATGGAAGCTTTTACTGTCTTTGAGTTTTCTAAGCCGGTGCCACACAGTGTTATGGCCTTCACTGTTGAAACCATATCTATTAACTACAGCATTGTCTTCTACTAGTCTAAACACTCTTGGTTTAGGATTTCCAGGCTGCGGCTTTGGTGTAACTGACCCTGAAAAATAATTAAAGGTGTTAGGGGGAATTTACAGATGGGATCAGTAACTGTCAAATGAACAAGATGTATTACCTATTTCTACAAAGCTAAAACCTATTTTATGCAAGCCTTCTACAGCTTCCCCTTGCTTATCGAATCCGGCAGCCATACCTAAGGGGTTCTTAAACTGCATACCCCATACATTGATCCCAAGAGAGGATGGATCTTTCGTATTCTGTTTACCTATAAGACCCCATTTCAGTATCTTGACAGCAGCATTGTGTGCCAGTTCTGGATCGACCAATTGAATCACTGGTGCAGCAAATCTATTGTAAAACTTCTCATTGCCCTGGTACATACATATGCCACTAAACAATGTTACAGCTGTGCTAGTCACTGTTAACAGCGACTTTAGTTTATCTTTGCCACTCAATCGTCGAGCCATTTCAAAACATGAAAAGGGGTATATCTGCTAACTAAATACAGTTTTCCTCTTGGAGAGGACATCTAAATTTACCTCTAAGGTTATGTGCTACCTTTTTCATAAACCATCGTTAATACACCATAAGCATCAAAATGTTGCGAATACATTGATTTTATAATCTTATTGCGAGGTTATTGGGTATTGGGTTATTTGGTTTTTGGGTTATTATATATGTAGGCTACTTTTTTCTTTTTTTTAAGATTTTATAAAATCATAGACCATTACCACATAGTGGTAAGCCCGGTCCCAGTATCGGGACCCAGAGTTGATCGTCGCGCTGCAGTTGTGCGAACGGACATTAGACAAACCAAATTAGAAATATTTTCGACCGTCAGGTGGCACACGCATATGTTTCTGTGATCACGGGTATCGGTAAAAATGTGACAGAAGAGAGAAAGAAAGCTGAAAGAGAAGAATAGCGACTAAACATGGTTGCCACATTTCATTCCTCGCCGCAATGTTGCCATGTCGTCAAAACCGTTTCACAAACTGAGTTTCATGAAACTGATTCCTGCTTCATGAGCCCGTTCTGCCGCGCGCTAGGTTAATAGACCAGGGGAAGGTGGCGTGCGGGGCAGTCGTGAGCGGCGCGGCAATTGCAGCAAGAACGCTCGTCGGATATTGTAAATATCTGAACAATAATAAAGAAATGGACATTTCTACAACCGAAGCCCCCCAGCTTAGACTTTTCTGAATCGAAATATCCAACTCCCGAACTGCTCACTCGAATATTGGCACGTCCATCTTACTTGATACGAACAGTTGTCACGAAGATATTCTGCCGCGCGCTAGGTTACTAGACCAGGGGAAGGTGGCGTGCGGGGCAGTCGTGAGCGGCGCGGCAGTTGCAGCAAGAACGCTCGTCGGCAGGCAATTTATTAATTGTTTTCGGTCCTAAATAGCAATAAATTAATGTCAAAGTTTAAAAAAGTGTCGCAGAGTGAGCAGTTTCTGCGCAATATTTTTGTATTTTTACGAAAAGCTTTTGTTCGGCACGAAAACTCTACCCAGGATCGGATTCTGTAGACATTTCTGNTAAAAACCAAGGAAAACATTCAATTTATTGATATTCATCGTGTAATTCTGTATTGTAAGCTGTAAAGTTTGTTTATTTGGGATTATAAAATATGGCCTTTTAGGGTGACACTTATAAGCATCTCTGACCTGGTAATTGTTTCTATCTATCTATATCCATTATTGCGTATCTAATTAGCGTTGGCACTTTTGTGAGTTTTGTTATGACTAATTTATTTATTACTCTCCACTTATCTCCGATCTCTTTCTATTTTTTGCTTATTCAGGAATAAAATATGCACTT